GTACTAGTATTTTTTACGAAAATTACAAATGCGTGTCGGGAGTTTTGTATGGCAACACTGAGACCATATACCGGCCCCTGGAAACACGTATACAAAACTGAAACTGAAACTCGCAAAAATATTCACACCTCGTATTTTCGCATTGTCATATGACGTTGCCATTTCTCAACGTATACGATACCATGTACAAATTTCCTTTCTTGTGTTCAAGCACAGATCTGTTTTCTAAGGTCAAGCTCGCCAGTGTGTGCAGTGACAAATAATGAACAAATAAAGACGTCCCGTTATAATCAAAGCGGTGTTAGATTCATCTTGCTTCCAAGGAACGTTTGTTTCGGGTCACGGTTGATCCCTATAAGTCGGCAATAACAAACCGTGCGATTCGGACGATGTGTTAGACCAGGGTTTGTAAAGATGTATAATAACAAGGTTATTACGAAAATACCTCAAAGTATGCACTCAGACAGTACGCCGCGCATCGACCTCCGCTGCGCGTCGGTTGATACTCCAGCTGTACTGTCTTCGTGCATACTTTTAGGTATTCTCGTAATAACCTCATAATATCATGGCGTATGCGACCCCATTGCTAGACGCTGTGACAAAAAGGCCGATGAACGGCAAGCAGTACAAATACTAGTATTTAGGCCATTGCCCCTTTGGTCACCGCTGGTGGCGTCTAATAACGATCAGTGATCGCATAGACCCCGCGGTATAAATATTATTACTAGTAGATTGTCGTTATTTTGAGATGAGGTGCACCGATGCGTGTTGATGGGGTTGAACTGTGATAGCATTAGTAGTCCAACTCTATTATATCTCACATCCTGGGACTTTCTGTGGTTCAGGTTCGTAATTTTGATGAGCTTTTTCCAATTATTTACCAAAAACAGTTTCCTTAAAAAGGCAAAAATTGAAGTATGATATCAGATTGATAATTTTTTTGTCACGTGACAATGCTCAGCAAAAGTGATAGCATTTACCTATTCACGGCGCAGAGCTACCTGAATGGAAACTCATGGATTGAGCCTGATACGTATTACACCGTGACATCGTTCTCCTGGGGCCTGGGTCACTTCCACTTTCTAACAGGTCGCTTAGTTTTTTTATGAAGTAATAAATTTAACGCAAACTGGCGTAAACGCGAAACGATGAGCGATTGTTTCACTATTTCGCATTTTTGCTATATTTTGTTTTATTTTCGAAAAAAAAAACGTCGACCTTGAAGTTGTGTCAAGTACGTCCAGGGTCCACCCACGGCGTCAGTTCTAGCTCAGACTAGTAATTACTAGTCAGAGGTTCTAGAGAGATCTCTGTCTTCGGCGCAGTATTCGGTAAATAATTAACCATGAAAACTACTGACGTCATCTGAACAATTGGAGGCTCGTCGCCTGATTGCCGTATCTGATTGGCTACAGCGGACAGCGCCTTCTAGTGACGCACAATGATTTGTTCTTTTGTACCACATGACTGTGGGTGTGTTCGTAATGGAACGCACAGGCCGCACAGCTGATTACTAATCTGGATGCCTCTGAACCGAAAGGTTAGTGCCATTTTTTTTCTCGTTTTTTTCAGTGACTTTTTTGTATCCTCACTAGCACTTTTGTTCATGATAGTGTGTCTTCGACGCTGTCGTGTCATCAGTGCTGCCATTTTCTTGTTCAGACCTCTTCCAAACTGCATGACGAAATCGGGCTATCGTTAACGGCAAGCGGTAAAGACCGTTCGATGCAAAATGCTTTGTTCCATTCTCTCTCACGGCCGACCAAAACAGTTGACATTGAGATTCTTGTACTGTAGCAAGCTTTCAGTCGTCATTTGCATTTTATTTTTCATAACTTATTATTTTATATTATGTGTATTTGTTATATGCCGGCATATTTATATTTTCATTACTGTTTAAAACTGGCGTTTTCCACCGAGACATTCAATAATTTGATGCTCGCACTTCCCTGTTTTATTGTATGTGTTGAAACCCACTCTAGTCACTATTACACAACAGAAAAAAAAACCCACAGAGTCGATCAGATGATATTGAATTTTCCGAAATCGCGCGGTGTCTATAATGTGTAAATAATGTGGTGGTAAATATCCCAAATAATATCAGATAGATCACTCTCGCGTTGTGCTATTGCATCATCCCCACGAACACACAGTAAAAGAGTGATGGATTTCTCGGCCGATTTCTCAAATTGGAAAATCTATATTATTTTTTTAATAAGAACAGATTTGATTAATAGTTGACGATTTGCCAGGTGTGTCGCATATCTGCATACTAGTAATACGATTTATTGATATGGCAACGTAAAAACAGTGTACTTTACTGGGTTGGTGACATAAGGTGTGAACACGGGATTTACGCCCAAACAACAGCACTAGGACAAATAACGACGACCTTCCATTTACACTTCGCGAATGACATTGTTCAGTGTAGTCTCGTAAATGTAGATACGTTGATAATCCACTATGATATGCTGAAAGGGAGGGGGGTTCAAATGTATTTACGTGTCAAACTTATGAAATAATTCACATGGTGCTACCCGAAAAAAATAAGTCCAATAAATCACCGATTGAGTTTCAATATAAAATACAGCCAATGTGTACAAAGGCAGATTTTAACCGAGGCATTGCATCATCTCGGGCGGTGACTCACATAGTGTTTTACAATGGGCGGTGACTTGCTTCTTTCCATTCACCGAGTTCAGTGTATTTATTGGCCATGTCAACATCACCCCATTTAGCATCATGCATTAATTTCCCGTCGTTAATTCCAATTTCATTTCCTTTCATTGTTTTCTGATTTATTCTGTTCGGCATTCTTCATCACGGCCTTGACTGGATTAATTCCCACTCTTTTTGTAAATCTCAAAGCTGTTATTGTTCAATTATATTTCGCAACGAGCTTGGTATAAGATACTAGTGTTTCGCAATGACCGCGTTTCCCCGTGAAATAAAAAATTTCACTGCTTTGACGTTTTCAACATTAACATGAAATCTGCATACAATGGGCGCAGCTGGGGGTGTGGTTATATTGACGCAGTGCGCGTCTGTAGCTTTGAATATTCAAACACAGCACAATTTTGTATTAATTAATGTTTGCTAAGTAGCCAGGCGGTATATTTATTTACGTATCGACCCGATTTTAGTTAGAGGGTAGATGTTCCCACGTGAGACGTTCGAGGTTAGAGCGAAAACAAAATACTGTAAACATAAACTTGTGGCAATCATGTGACCTACTCCGTTTGTCACGAGATTTATAATAACCAATCACATGGTAGCGATATATTTCGGGGTACTGTGAGTAACTACGTCACCGGAAACATCAACATCTGTGTTTTCGATGTAATTATAATAACCTAAACCCTGTAAATAATACTCAGCAATTTTTTAAAAATCGCTGACACAGCATTTTACAAGTGGCAGCTGTGGGAGATTAATTAAAATTGTGATTTCATTGTAGCTTACTTTTGTAGAATATTCATAGTTATTTTTGTCCCAGTTTAAAAATCACTGGCACTAAATTGGCCGTAATCTTGATAATATTATTATAGCGGTCATGTGAGCTCGTAATAAATTTATTTTTTACCTGGTGATCATAATTTTAGTACAACATTTTGTACATTTTTATTATGCATTTTTCAACATTTTTTCCGCCAAACTAACAGATCACATTCGCTGGCAATCCATAGAGCAGGCCACTAGTCTATCGCCGTAGTAATTACCATTGAATGAGGATGTGGCCAAAATAGACGAAATATCAAGTCCAATAGATACTACTATATAACAAACCATCTTTTGTAAAGGCGCATATTCTTTCAACAAAATGGTCATAGACAAAAACGTATTGTGTTTTTTTAACCTTTATAATATATACGTCATTTTGCGATTTATATTAGCTTAGAATTTATGGTTACACAATGTCAAAGTCGATGTTTGTATGTGAGGGCGTTGTTTATTATCTGTATGAATGTTAGTTTTCATAATATTTTAAACATACGCCATATTTCCCAGTTGTAAAATCTGTCGCTGTAAGACGGAAGTTACTTCATTGAAAAACAGTATACTTATGTGCCGCTATATAGGGGTCATTTTTTAAAGTCATTTTCGCAAATGTAGTGCCTTCTACCCACTGGTATTTCAAACTGTAGCCTAGAGCTACGGTGATATGAAAAACGCCGACATAAATCTTTGCCGATGATTATCATAATATATGTGACCTTTCGGAGGCCAGTCGGAGGCTCGTCTCGTCCTTGAAAAGTGATTGGTTTAGTTGGTCACATGTTTAATCGATCGACCCGTAAACATGTTTTTTACTCTTTGGCTGTCAGTAATCATATCACGTGTCCTGACCGACTTGATATACGAGTTGTAATGTTCCAGTTCATTCCTTGGCCATTATAATCCGGGTTGTTTATCTATCAGTGGCTGCTCAGAAGGTGTGCCATAAACAGTAACGTGATTGGCTAATAATTATCATGTGACCCGGATCATATTTATGTTCCTTGGTGACAGTTGCCAGTGCACAGCTGCATCTGATCTGTTCCAAAAAAAACAAAACATAAATGCGAGTAATCAATAACATTTTAATATTATTTTCAGTTTATATCTGATTTACAAATGTAATTGTATGTGTATCCTGAACAGTTTTTGTCTTTATTTCAGAAAACATAAGGAATTGATGGCTATTCGTCGACAACAAAATACTTGCTCAACATTCTTAATGTTACGCTGTATATGTCAGCAGATAATGACATTAACGAATCACAGTAATTATTATTGTGAAGACGATTTTAGGGAAAGAAAATACTTGTAAATAGTGTCTATAACAAATATATATATATATATCTCCTAGTATATAGGAAATCATTTAAAAGGTGAGTTAATTTATATATCATCGTGTATTAATATTTGTGTGTTCATTTATTCTACCATATAAGGTGATCCATATTACCATATGATATGTTACCATATTAAGATTACTATATTACCATATAAGGTGATCCATATTACCATATGATATGTTACCATATTAAGATTACTATATTACCATATAAGGTGATCCATATTACCATATGATATGTTACCATATTAAGATTACTATATTACCATATAAGGTGATCCATATTACCATATGATATGTTACCATATTAAGATTACTATATTACCATATAAGGTGATCCATATTACCATATGATATGTTACCATATTAAGATTACTATATTACCATATAAGGTGATCCATATTACCATATGATATGTTACCATATTAAGATTACTATATTACCATATAAGGTGATCCATATTACCATATGATATGTTACCATATTAAGATTACTATATTACCATATAAGGTGATCCATATTACCATATATGTTACCATATTAAGATTACTATATTACCATATAAGGTGATCCATATTACCATATGATATGATGTTACCATATTAAGATTACTATATTACCATATAAGGTCACTAGTGTAACCATTAATTTTCTAATGTTCTATTAAAAATAAACTCTAGTACACATAATCACCAATATTTCAAAAAAAAAAATTCTTAATTTTGAAATTTATCATCAGTTTTAGATTAAAAAAAAAATGTGTCAAAAAAACTATTTGTGTACCATACCCCCCCCCCCCCCCAAAAAAAAATAGGGCTGTAAATGTTTGTCTTATCTTATCGGCTGATTAAAAAATCACTGGCATTCTTTTCAATGATTGCTGCTATCAAAACTTAGGGGCTATCAAAGAGCATTGTCAATATGTCAACAACATGTTTGCATGCTAGTTATATATTTGATCACAGAAGTCAATCATTATATTGCCTGCTTGCAAAATTGCAGACTCAGCAATTTATATAGGTCATCGGTTTTATTTGTGATTTAAACAGTGGATATGCTTTAGATTTCCCCTGTGCAACACACAATGGAAGTTATTCAGTTTACCCTGTGTGTGTGAATGTCTATGTTTGTCTTTGCATGTGTCTGTCTGTTTGTGCATCTGTCTGTCTGTTTGTGAATGTATGTCTCTGTGTGTGTGTGACGTCTGAAAGACGGACAAACAGATATCTGCATGTGAATGTATGCCTGTTTTTCATTTTGTAACAACTGAGTCACTGTAACAATTGCTACTCAATTCATTTCAGTTGTGACATCTTATAGCAAGGGCTGTTGAGAAGGCCCCAGTATTTTATAAACAGTCCTCCTGTGGCCAGATGACAGGAGAGTAAATACTGATAAAGTCTGAAATTTAAATAACACTCTGTTACATAATTCAGTCAGTTGAATAGTTACCAGTTTGTGTTTGTCATTCCATAACTTAATGTGTTCAAGCTCATTAAATCTTTTAAAGAATTTTTTTTTTAAACCAAATGAACATAATTTTCTATTTATAAAAACGTTATTTGAGTTGATTTTGGTAAAATATTGATGATCCATCCAGCACCTGATGTTTATTGTTTTATCTTTACAGAAAATATCTGTTGAATTTGCAGAAATCAGTGAATATATTTTTGTAGCATACTATAATTAAATCAAGTACACCATGGTTGGATTCAAGCCTACCAATGTACCACCCACTGTTGGTGTGAAATTTGTGGCTGCTGGTACTGCAGCATGTATGGCTGACATGGTCACCTTCCCATTGGACACTGCAAAAGTCAGATTACAGGTAAGACAACATAAATGGCTTGTTAGGAAGGAATCTCATTTGCAAATTGATACTGTAAAAAACTTTATTTTCGCTGGAATTAATTTTTGCTAAAAATACTTTTTGGGTATTTTGTATGAAATTTATTTTCACTGATTTTTGACAACTTGAATGTGAAATATAGGGAAAAAGATATATTCGCTGGATTTTATTTTCACTGAATCATTCCTTCAGCGAAAATAGTAAAAATTAATTCCAAGCGAAAATAAAGTATTCTACAGTATTAATCATATGTTGTGTCTTTTCATGGCTTTGATTACTTTGATTAGAGTCAGGAACTAAATATTTTATAATATTTGAATTTATTCAGTATCTGTACATGTTAAGTTTGAGTTTTCATGAAAAGAAATATTTACATCATTTAACATCAGTGTCTGAATTGCAACCTTGACTGAGATAAAAGTTTCTAGTAGAGTACTCAAAACATAAAAACATCAAAAAGTGAGTTAACTGAGAGGGATTAGATACAGAACAAAAACCATCAAACACTGACATGGCTTTTACAAACATTCATTGTGTATTTCAATCATAATTTTATTTACCAAAGACAACATCAGTATCTTGAATTGAATAAATTGAAAAAAAAAAAAAAAAAAACATTTTCTCCTTTTACCAGCAATTTGAAAAATATATTTATAAATATTCCTAACCCTTCTACATTTAAAAAAAAATCATGAAAAATAAATTCCATATTGTTTTACCAATAAGACATTTAATTAATTTGAAATTTTGGGTTCATTTGTATAATGGATCCAATCATACAGATAGATAAGTTGAATTGAGCTATTTTTAAAGTTGACAATGGTAGTGAAATGGTAAATTTAGTTTTTAGTTTTCCCCTGGTGTGATTTAAGGTCAAAACTAATATACATGAGTAAGTATTTTTCCACAGTTTTGTTTTAAATGAGCATAAACTAATATGCACTTTCCTTTCTTTTCCTTGTTTCTGTAGGAAAAAAATAAAATGACAGTTAATTTTCACTTTTATTATTACTAAAAGTGAAATGAACAGAAGCAGACCTGAGCATCATGGGTTCTGGATATACACTAAGTTAGGGGGTCCTTAAGCCCCTAAAGGCCTTCTTGGCCACTCATCTTACCCACAATGCTATTTGCTTGACTTTCCAGATCCAGGGTGAAACTAGCGGCAGTAATAAAAGCAAAATTGCAGTGGGTAAAAATGCCAATGTCAAACCTTTATATCGGGGCATGTATGGCACAATTATGACTATTTCGCGTCAAGAAGGGGCACGGGCACTATACAATGGTCTGGTGGCTGGTCTGCATCGGCAGATGGGTTTCGCCTCAGTGCGTATTGGTTTATACGATTCTGTCAAGCACTTCTATCAAAATGCCTCATCTCAAGGTGAGTAATTCTACCTGTAGGGGGCGCTGTTCATAAGTCGTAACAAATACACATGTAATTCACAATTCAACAGGTACTGTGCTCCAACCACTAATCAAATTGTCTGTATTTTTACAGAATACTAGTATTCCACTTACATTTAATTCTTGTTGAGATTAATCATTTAGTTTATTTATTTTTTTTCTTCTGAAAATGCATTGCTCATTGCTATAAAGGCGAAAAAAAAAGTCAATCAAATTTTTCAGATAAACATGATATTGCAGAATGTGGATTAGAAAGTTAATACATGGGATTTTATTTATTTAAAAAAAAAAGCTGGTACTCTTCATTTTTGAAAAACCTACCAGCATTTGTAAAGATTATACATACATGTACAATGTGTTCTCGTGCGAAAACTGCTGCCTGTATTGATAAACCTTTGAGTAATAAATCAACTCTTGTTACCTATCACAGAATATCCTAGCATATCCCCCGACCATGTGTATTCCAAAGCTTTGAATAAAACTTGTAGCCGAATGTACAAGTATACTAAATCTGTTTAATTAGGAGAGTTATATTTAATGTCTTGCAATAACACCGCTATGTATACGTCAATGTTGAACGGAGATAGCTACCACAGCAGTGTTTATCATTTCACAAATCATACGTTATTATTTTGTTTTCTCAGTTCTACCTGGTGGTTCCATTGTACCTAGAATCTTGGCTGGTATCACTACTGGAGGAATAGCAGTCACTATTGCACAGCCTACAGATGTTGTCAAAGTACGTCTCCAAGCACAAACTGGAACAGAGAAACGTTACCAAGGAGCCATGCTTGCATATAGAAAAATTGCACGTGAAGAAGGAATAAAAGGTCTATGGAAAGGTATGTAAAATAATTTTAATTTTTAGCTTTAGCTTTTTACTATTCAGAAAAAATTAACATACAATATTTATATCAGAAGTCCAGATAGACCAAATAAATTGTATACATTAATCATTAAAATATGACTTATTTTTGTTATAAATACACCTAATTTATGTATGTGTTTGTGCTACTAATAGAGCAAATACAGTATGTTGTTAGCATATTTTTATTTTTACATATTTAATCTTGCAACTACATGTACTGGTATTATATTAATTTTACTCATTATAAAAACAAGCAAAACAGTCACTGTTTGTTAGGACCATGCTAGAACTACCTGTATTAACTGTTGTCATTTGAATTGCTACCGTACTTCAATCATTCCAGGTTTATAACTTTACATACAAAATCTACACAAAATTAAATTCATTCACTAACGAATGCAGCTTTGAAGAAACCTTGGTTAAAGTCTGCAGGTGCTTGTGTTCGACCGAGCCAGGTTGACTGCAGGGTAGCGCATTAAATTGCCATTTGATAGAGAGATGGCTATACAGCCCTGTCATGTAGTCCCAAACATGACTTCTGTGGCAAAAATGCACTACCAGTATGTATCTGCACTAGCACTTGCAATTTGCACATATAATAAAAAGAGTCAGAAAGGGCAATGGTGACATTCAATGGCCGGAACTGTCGCCTAGCACAAACATTTAAAAAAAAAAAAAAATTGTGTTTGCATCTATTAAATGATACTAAACTTGATCCCCTTTGTCTTGTATTCACAGGCACTGCTCCAAATGTTACCCGCACTGCTGTCGTCAATGCTACAGAGCTTGTATGTTATGATTCATTCAAAGAAAAGATAATTTCCATGAGGCTGATGTCCGACAATCTTCCCTGCCATTTTGTTTCTGCATTCTGCACTGGCTTTGTCACTACCTGTGTGGCCTCACCTGTAGATGTTGTAAAAACTCGCTTCATGAATTCTAGCGAAGGACAGTACAAAAGCGCTATGGACTGTGCTGTACGCATGTTCAAAGAAGGGGGAACAAAAGCTTTTTTCAAAGGGTAAGAAACATTACAAATAATATTGTAAATTAAATTTTTGTCTACATTTGTCAATCCATGTGAAACTTTGCATTTCCTGAAGGCATGAGTTTTTATCATCAAATCCACTGACTTAAATAACATGGTATTTTGAGCAGAGGTCATGATGGCGACAGAGAATGCAACACAAGGGGGCTCCTTCTCATAAAGATAACAGCAATCAATTTTTTGAAAACTGTGAAAGGATTAATTATTTACTGGGTTTTAATTTTGCTCATTCCGCTGACTGGAAAATGCGCTAAATTAAAACCCAGTTAATATGTAAAATTTAGCATAGAACACATTATCTAAATGCTAAAACTGTGAATTTAACACTCGCTGAATATGCCTGAAATGGTAAATCAGCAAAATTTAAACCCAGTGAAAATTAGTCATTCTACAGTAAGATTTATTGCATATTCTCCTTACAAAAACAGTGTTTGATAAACAAATAAGAGTTGATTGATAATATTCAAATTATGAATAAATTGTAATTGATTTTTTTCTTGTTTATATTTACAGATTTATGCCTTCATTCATGCGACTTGGCTCCTGGAACATCTGTATGTTTGTCTTCTACGAGCAGTTGAAGCGTGGATTCACCCACGCCACTATATCTTGTAGCAATAATAAAAATGCCATATAAATAGAAGAAAAATGCACTACTGACAGCAAATGTACAAGGCACATCTCATTTCTCCTTTCATAAATAGAGCTTAGACATTAAGTAGAACATTCAGCAGTACTTGTTAGCTTTATTGGTGTTGTATGATCAGATTCTTTTCAAGTGTTTTTCTTTTAAGCCTTACCTGCATATCATCACTGACAGCAGTTACTGCAGATGTTGCTAAAATAGCAGAATCCGATGTCTTTTAATGTGAACAAGACAAATCAATGATAACGTGTAGGTCTCTGCCAAACGTGAATAACACTGCTCACATGCTGTGAAATAACTACTTTTGCCTTCATTTACAATTATTTATATTTCACGCAGCATTACGTTCATTGTAACTAATGTCAATTGTTTCAGACTAGCCGATGTCTGAAGTGTTTTGCATATTAGATGTTTTTTTGCATGTTAGATTCTTAGATTGATGATGCGCACAAAAAGCTGAAAAGTTTCCTGCTTTGAAATTACAAAAGGAGGAATTTTTAAAGACTTTATAAACGTTTCAAACAGCACCCTCATGCTGTCTTTAAATGATGTTTTTATACGTAGAACTTTTTTTTCTTTCAATTCGGCCCTTTTTGAACTTCATTTCTTTATTTGAACTCTAAAGGACAGGGTTTTAACAATACCCCATTGTTTTCCAGCTGTGATGGATAATTTGATTGTTATTATTACATAAATTTAAAACGTGTGAAGGGGAAAAAAAATCAATCAATGGTTGCTTTATCATAACTTGAAATACATTTATTACATGCTCAAATTCTGCAGACAAAATGTTTGGCTTAAAATATCATTACAAAAATCATGAACTATGTAACACAGGCATGTATTTCTTTATATATTTCATGGGGGTGGGTCTCGGGGGGGGGGGTGTGTGCATATATTTGCAATGTCAGTGAAGCGGTTTACATTGTGAAGTAACTATTATCAGTGGGGATTGTCTTAAATTTTAGTGTACCTAAACGTGTTTTTATTAAAATAGTTTAGTGCCCACAGAATAATAATAAACATATTTTTGAAAAAAATTATTATGTAATGTTTTTATTTCTTTGTCTGCATGTCCTTGGAATACAACTAGACATTACTGTCACCGCCATAGTGTTCCGAACACCAAAACAGCAGCATTACCAGCTGAGTTGCTGACTGCTTTGTTATGCACGTCTCAAGGTCGTTAGATGATTGGAACTGGTTTGTTCGCCCTTGTTTTTTTTTCCTGGATAAATCCCTCAAAATAAGACTCAATATACATACATTGTGTACCTGTAATTGACGCCCTCTAGCGTCGCATGTGTGACGTCAAACAATGTTGTAAATCTCCCCAAAAAAGTGCCTGACGAGGTCGCGTGAGTTGCGCCCTCAACTTTGCTCCGAGGTCAGATACCGGCGAGGGCCTACTCCTACTCGCGCCTACATGTCAGGCTACCCAAAAAACGATACTACCGGTATTATTTTGTTGACTGTCTGCCGCTGATCAAAACCCTTTACTATAAATCGCGCCCTCTGGCGACGAAGCTCTATGACTTCAATGGGTGCACGAAGACAGTTTAAAACGTCGATGTCGTTTCAAACGGTATTCGTCAATGTAGATGACGAATGACAAAACAACCTAACAGTGATCGGCATTGTCTTCACTCATGTTCTCGGGCGGACATCATAATTTACTATCTGTCTCAATATCGAGTGTTTGCTGTCAAATCCAAAAACTCTAATAATCGTTGCTGTGCGGTTACTCGCTGTCACTAGATGCATAGCCGCCGTTCTGTACATATTTAAACTTCAAGTTAGTAGTTAGATGCAGTACCACAGCCAATGATTGCTAACAACCAAGCAACTCCCCGACTGACTCTGATTTTGAACAATATTTGTACCCCAACGTGTGATATTAAACTTGAAAAATAGACTCGATGAAGTAAAATTTTCAGTATGTATTTGAACAATTTGGTATATTACTGTATTTCATAACAATATTTTCAAAACCAGGATAAAGGTCACGTACCATTTTCCACTAAAATGTGGATTTGGTTATTTAGCATCAGACCGTCCTCTACGAATACCAGTTTGGTACGCGATGTGTCCGAAAATTGAATGCGTTGTGTCATACCTCGTCTATTTTATAGTCCTTTACCCTGTGTTTAGCGGAATTTCTCTTTTACAGCGGAACACAGACGCACAAAAGTTTTTCGTCGGTGGCGGCGCTGTTAAATATTTCTAACTTACGGTTTTCTCTATTTATCCCACACGTGTCAAATCGGCGAAGAAATTAAATACAGATATAAAAGCACAATATTCAGTTTGTGTGTATATTTATTACGTATATTATTATTCATTATTATTTTACTAATAGCTAGTTACCCGTGGGACCAAGGGCATGTAACTAGTACACTTACATTACATTTACATTATTCCACACATTTTTCAAAACAAAATGTATCATTATTTACGGAACCAACACTTTTGCCTATCGCCCTTAGTGTATCTAAACCCAGCTTGGTGGCGCTTTCGAAAGTTCGAGTACAACCTTGGCAAAGCGGAAACCTCCTACACATTGGTTTCGCCCAACGCCATGTTTGGCAGCAAGGCCCACAGCTGGACGCGCACTGTATTTGTCAGATTCCGTTTATGATGTCTTCAGAAAATTCGTGAAATGATGATATGATATTATGAACACCTTTAAATGCAAAATGTAAAGAATTAATTTCGGCGTGCAACAGTTTTTAACACAGGTAGGTACTTCCGGTATTGTTTCACCCGTCTGATGTTCATAATATTGACATACACAGTCGGTTAACATTACAGTCAGTTGGCGTGTGTAACCTTGGCGTACGTAAAAAGACAGAGATCTACACTCCAGGTCCCTTCATTCTACACACTGGGTTACACAGCCAGGTGACTGTGGACGTAATCTTGTAGATGTAACGTGTAATCCACCTAAGACAAACCTCATACAGGTAATATGTATCCAGGCTGGTATGTATCGGTACTTACATGTAAATGAAAA